TTTACCCCTTGCAATCAGCCTTCTAATTTGTAGATTTCATTATAATTTTCATATATTCTTCTACAAGAACATTAAAATCATGTGGAAAATGGAAAAAGAATTCATTAATTGGATATTGATTTGTATCTTATTAGTATGTGGATTTGTTAAAGAAAACAAACAAAGAAAAAAGTTTACATTTCTATTCAAACAGGAGGACCTTTTAAGATCTATCCTGAAGTACAATCCTGTCAGTGAAAGGATAATATCTGTCTGCCTACAAGGAAGACCACTTGGTATGACTATTATTCAAATTTATGCACCAATTATTGAAACCAAAGATAAAGAAATTGAAGGTATTTCCTGGCTTCTGCAATCTGAAATTGATCACACATGCACTTAAAATGAATTGGTAATTATTGGTAATTGGAATGAGAAAGCTGGAAACGAAGAAGAAAAATCAGTTGTTGGAAAATATGGCCTTGCTGATACAAACAACAGAGATTGCATGATAATTTTGCAAGACCAAAAACTTACTTTCTTTAAACACCCTTTTCAACAACATAAATGGCAACTATATACATGGAACTCACCAGGAGGAATAAATGGAATCAAATCAACTACATCTGTGGAAAGAGGTAGTGGAGAAGCTCAATCTTATCAGTCAGAAAAAGGCCAGGGGCTAACTGTGGAAGAGGCCATCAATTGCTCACAGGCAAACTAAGGTTGAAGCTGGAAATAATTAAAACAAGTCCACAAGACCCAAAACACAACCTTGATTATATCCCACCTGAATTTAGAGACTATCTCAAGAGCACATTTTGTGCTTTTTTGACAAGTTGTGGGATGACATCAAGGACATCCTACATACAAAAGACAGGGAAGACAGAAAAGACCAAAATGAATGTCAGAAGAGACTCTGAAACTTGCTATTGAACACAGAGTAGCTAAAACAAATGGAATAATTGATGAAGTAAAGGAGCTAAACAGAAGATTTCAAAAGGCGAGTCAAGAAAACAAAGTCTTCTCACAACTGAACCAATAAAC